TGGCTCCCTCTTAAACCTGGCTCCCTCTGAAACCTGGCTCCCTCTTAAATCTGGCTCCCTCTTAAACCTGGCTCCCTCTTAAACCTGGCTCCCTCTTAAACCTGGCTCCCTCTTAAACCTGGCTCCCTCTTAAACTTGGCTCCCTCTTAAACCTGGCTCCCACTGAAACCTGGCTCCCTCTTAAACCTGGCTCCCTCTTAAACCTGGCTCAATCTTACACCTGGCTCCCTCTTAAACCTGGCTCCCTCTGAAACCTGGCTCAATCTTACACCTGGCTCCCTCTTAAACCTGGCTCCCTCTTAAACCTGGTTCCCTCTTAAACTTGGCTCCCTCTTAAACCTGGCTCCCTCTTAAACCTGGCTCCCTCTTAAACCTGGCTCCCTCTGAAACCTGGCTCAATCTTACACCTGGCTCCCTCTTAAACCTGGCTCCCTCTTAAACCTGGCTCCCTCTTAAACCTGGCTCCCTCTTAAACCTGGCTCCCTCTTAAACCTGGCTCCCTCTTAAACCGTTCTCATCGGAACGCCGAGCTGTGCCGTAACGAGCGAGGACCTCGGCGTCCTGAACGCAAAGCGTAGCGAGAGCGTCTGCGTGCCGCCCTCCCCGGCTCCCCCTAGGAGCCGAGCGTCCTTGCCCTGGGCTCGCAATCCCCGCACCGTCCCCGTCGCTCCGATCCCATCGGCTGTCGATCCCTGCAGCAATGTTGGTCATCTTCAGTTGTTTGGCGGGGCTGAAGCCCCGTCCATTTGGTTTGAAATGTTCGATCGATGCTGCTGGAGACTTCACTTTTAAATTAACCGTTAAGCTCAACGCGTAATTAATTATGTAGAAAGACTTGAAGCGTCCAGGTCTTTTTGTTTATTAACGGCGGTTAGTGACAACTCCCCTGCTTGTTTTCCTTCTCAAGTCCACTTCGCATCATCGTTTATCGCCCAGTGTAAAACACTGGCACTAATTTGCCCGTGCGTTTGTGCTCCGTTGTAACGTCTGGGACGATGAAGGCTTGGCGCAACAAGCGGTCCGCCACTCGTAGAGGCTCGCGGCTCGAACCTGGCTGCTCACCCTGGTTAACGCTGCGGTGTGGCATTCGCCGGAATAAATACTCGGCGGCGCCTCCTTGGCGGTTGACGTTCGGGTCGTCGCTCCTCGCGTGTGCCGGCGTCGCGGTCCACATTTTCCAAATTTGATAAATTACCTCCAAAGTGTTCAGTTGGAGTATACAGAGCGGTCATCGCGCCCTCCTGCGAAACTCCCGCAGACTGTGAAACACTGTGCCTTGCCCTGTAAGAATGGCGTAAATTCCAAATGTACAAAATTCTTATTTACTTTTTGTTCTATAGATGCTGTATTTGCCTTTTATTTTCAACACCAACCGCTGCTGTACCACCGTCTGCTTGCTCGTCGGTGAAGCCCACACACAGAGTTAGGAGCAGAAGGAGAAGGGGGTTTTGGTTTTGCAAAGTCCACTGCTTTGATGTCGAGTGTCCACAGACACATCGTGACACGGCAATGTAACGCGTCCAATGGATTGATACGCACAGCATTCAATCTGCTTACGATGGTGGAGCCTTGCCGAGAATCTCCCTGGATCGTCAGGATTATTAACGCGTGCTCAAAATGCTTACGCAGTGCGCACGTGGACAGCTCCACAAGCGATATGCTCTATCCCAAGGGACGATGGGGGTTCGGTGTGTTGGCGGCTAAATGTGTTGTTGTGTTAACGCCTCGCACCATCGGCTCGCCACGCTCCTCGGCGACGGCCACAAAAGTAGACGTCCGAAATTTAGCCCTCGATTTCCCACCGTCTCATTTCGACAGAAATAAAGCAGAGACGGGGTACAGACCGACGGTGCGACAGGGACGCGATGCGTCGGGTGTCCTCCGCGACCTCCGGGAGCGCGGGGAAGGAGGTGGCACTCCTCCTGGAAGCACCACTCCGACACGAACTCCGTAGCGGCACCACAACTCGGTCACCGCCCACTTCCGGTTTCTGTCATCGGCTCGGCGCCACCGGTCGCACGTTCGTCCGAGTCGTCAGGTTTTTCTTGTTGCCCCCGCTACGGTTTGGGGATATTTTACGCGCCAGCTCGGCCGCGTCGTTCTGCATCTTGATATTTCTGTGGGCTCCGGGGTCTCGTTAGTACTCAGGTGCTGCGCTCCGGCTCGCTCTTCATTAGGCTCATTCTGATTCGATAATTGCCGCTAATTAGGCCTCCACGCACGAACCCGACATCGGGGTGGGGGGGGGGGGGTCGGTGACTCGGCGGGGTGCACCCCCCCCCCCCCCCCCCGTAGGGCCTTCCACCACGCGGGGGGCCGAGCGGCCGTGTTGGCCCTTCACTCGAAGCGACGCGTTTCGTAGGCAATGCAATGATCTCTGCTTGCGTTAGGCCACATGGTAAGTTATACCGTCGTTCTTTCCATGAAGCCTCCACTCCCCGACAAGGTGACCACGTCTGCACAGCTGCTACGTGTATACTTGTGTACCCCGTGTCGACGTTGAACATCTCTGAGCTGTTGCGGTTCGGCAGACGGGATCGCTCGCCGCAGCTTCCCCGGCTGACGGTAAGGTGCCCGGTTAAGCTGCGTGCACGGCGCTGTCTTGGCATGAACACTCAGGAGCAGTTAGCTCCCAAACAGTAATCCTTAGAGAGCCAGCTTAAAGAGTAACTTCACTGTGGGTGAAACAGCACGTGGAAATGTGTAAGTAATCCACTGTGTCTATTCTGCACACAATCGTGTGTATTTGTTCATCATGCTACGTACGTTTGTACCCCGCTGGCCTACGCGTTGTTGCGTGATCGAGTACGCCGTTACGAATCTGTGAGACTTGCCACTGTTGCCGAGTTCAAAAAGCCACCGATTCTCCAAATGACGCTGATGTGCACACTCACCGTTTGCACGGCCTTTACACGCAACTTTTTAAACCTGCATTCTGCGGTTCGTTGAAGTAGACTTCTTCAGGAGATGAAACACAAACTCAGAAAATTACATTCATAAACGCGAATATGTTCCGTTTGCTCCCGTCCGATTTATTATTTTCAAACGATTGACCCGGAAAGCCGTAACTTAACGAATGCGCTGAATTCGAACGTTTGGCCTTTGATGCATCTCGGGGAAACAAACGAGCTGCCAGGTGCGGTGTGTGCGGTACGGTCCACATGCTTAATGAGCACCGATCCTGACCTCGTGCTTAACGACCACACTCAGCACTGTTTTCTCTTCGAGGGCCGCATTATTAGCGCAATGCACCGCACGCTTAATTAAGTGGTACTGATTGGATACTTTTTTTTCAACACCACAGACTTGATTTATAACCCAAAATTGAGCTGCGCGTTCGAATCCTGAATGCAGCGCTGGGCAGCGCGCGCCGGCTTTGCTGAGGATCGCGCTTGGCGCTGCGCCGGTCCGGCCGCGGCCCTCAGTAATGCGCCCGGTTCCCGTCGAGGGCGCGGCCTGGCACTGCGCGACTCGCGGCCGAGACGAGGACAGGCGGCGGGCAATGACAGCAGGCGGTGAGATGAAGGCTCTCCTACGGTGTGCATGGCACGGGTCCTCCCACTCTCGGTGAGACCGTGACCACTATGACTTATGGAATGCAAACCCTTCGCTTTTGGCTGAATCCCTCGAAAGTGAAAATGATGCGTGGGCTCGCAGGGTCTGCTGCTCCGTTTTGAAGAAGCGCTCGTCGCCATCGTAATGTTGACGGTGCCGTAGCGGTGGCGCGGTGCCCGTTACATCGTAATGTTGACGGTGCCGTAGCGGTGGCGCGGTGCCCGTTACATCGTAATGTTGACGGTGCCGTAGCGGTGGCGCGGTGCCCGTTACATCGTAATGTTGACGGTGCCGTAGCGGTGGCGCGGTGCCCGTTACATCGTAATGTTGACGGTGCCGTAGCGGTGGCGCGGTGCCCGTTACATCGTAATGTTGACGGTGCCGTAGCGGTGGCGCGGTGCCCGTTATTAGCCTGCGTCACAGTCGCCCCCGTGCGCTCTCTCGACTGGTGCAGGCTGCTCTCCTTTGTCTTCCCGAGGCGTTTGAGTGACACCGTTATATATTTTATTTCATTTAGTTACGTCTTGGCATGAAAAATAGGAATTGGTGATAGTGTGGCAGAGTTTCCCAGGCATGTCAAATAAATATGCTATAATTGAGCAAATTCGGTTTAAATCTCATTTAAGCAAACAGGAGCTATAGGTCACAGAGATGTTTCATTATCACGGGAGAAAGACTGCTTGCGTTCCGTGGGGAATCGAATTGCCGCGACGGTGCCAGGAGACGGTTTCATCCGAAGTCATTCCTGGCCGCCGCCTCGTACGAAGAGCGAGCGGCTCGCAATTCGAAGGGTTCCGAGTTCACGTCCCGGTCGCGCTTTGGCTCTGCCCATCAATCCCGCCCTCCGGGGTCGGTAAAATAGCTACCACTTTTTGGGTGGTCGACAGCGGTTGTCCCGTGGACAGACTCTTCCCCCCCCACCCCGCCATAGTCACGGAGAATTTCCACCGCTGGCCGAGGGCTGTGAAAGGGAGAACGTGAGCTCGGCCTCGCCTCTCGCTTGAGCCGGGCCCTCTCGCTCGCTCGCTCACTCTCGCTCACGCTCACTCTCGCTCGCTCACTCTCGCTCACTTTTGCTCACTCTCTCGCTCACTCTCTCTCGCTCTCGCTCACTCTCGCTCACTCTCTCTCGCTCTCACTCGCTCACTCTCGCTCACTCTCGCTCACTCTCGCTCACTCACTCTCGCTCACTCTCGCTCACTCTCGCTCTCTCTCGCTCGCTCTCGCTCGCTCACTCTCGCTCACTCTCTCTCACTCTCGCTCACTCTCGCTCACTCTCGCTCACTCTCGCTGACTCTCACTCACTCCGGGGACCGGACCGCTACAGCGGAGCCGCTTTTATTTTCGGTGTCGGAAGGATTTTTTATTTTTTACGAATTCCCCCCGAGTCAACAACGGTTTGTGCTAATGCCTCCCCCCCCCCCCCTCTTCTCTTCCCTCCGCAGGGTGGAGTTTCAGAACAAATTCTACTTGGGAACAGGCTACAAGTTTGCACCCTTCTCCTTTCAACAAATCCTGGAGAGCCAGCTGGAAGAGTGATAATGAGCTGCCCGGGGTGGGGGGGGCGCTGGGGTTCCGCCCCTCCGCGGTGGCGCTCTGCCTCCGAGCCCAGCGTGCGCTCGTGTTACAGAGGCTGCTTTGATCCCCTTGGTGTGTACCGTTACTGTACGTTGAACTTCCTTCGCACCGCCGCACGTGGCCGACCGTGGCTTGTCGGAGGTGCGGGGGAAGGACAACAACAACGCTCAACAACAACAAGAAGCAGTTTTCACTAATTTGCCCCGCATGCGTGCACGCGCAGCTTCGCTCAACAAGCATTGGGGGGGTGGGGGGGGGTTTGGTTTTATTTAATAAATTATTTAAATGAATTTTAACCGATTTAGTTTTTTTTGCAATGACAATATATTCCTGCGATCGACTCCACGAAGCTGATTATGTTTTCCACATAACAATGTCGATATCAATTGCGGGTGCGCGTTATCGATTTTTAACTTGGCATAGCGGTCTCACTGAAAGGATTAGAAAGATAGACGGCTTAAACCAAGCAAAGATCTCGCGTCAGCTCGTGACATATGACACTTTGTGATGTGCGGCGACCAGCCCGTCGCTCGCCTGGACGTTTTGTTCCCCTGCTTCAATAAACGTTTCACTGCCCTGGGCCCCGTCACGTCGCTCGTGCCACGTGCTCGCCGCGCCGGTGCCAGCGCAGCCAGAATTGTGCCGTCGCGGAGAAGCTAAACCGATATTGTTCACGGCCGAGCCTCGCAATGTTTTTGCAAACGATTGCGAAGCGCGCGTCTCGGCGGCCGCGTCTTGGTTCGCTGGCGGGCAGGCGGTTTGCGTCCGCCAAATGTGGGCAGCAAACGGCCAAACTCGCTTTGGGTAATCAACGTCCATTTGACCATTGGCCAAATTTCAAGGAGAATGGCACCCTGTGCACAACCCAGCAGCGCTGCGGAGTACGTACCGCGCCACGTTGCCACGATGGGCTCCCCTGCCTCCGCCAACTCGTAGTGACCGGGGTGGCGAAGTATGGTTAAACGAGCCCCAGCGGGCGCGCACGGCGTGGGGAGGCCGTCATCCAGCAGTGGATTGACCACGGAACCAGGCCCGCCCGGTCTCCTCGACCGGCGCGCGCGAGCGTCCTTCCGACGGACCGCGCAAGGCAAGAAGACTCTGCGTCTCGACGTCTCGACGCGGTTACGGAGCGCAGGCTCCTCGGTAGCGCCCGAGCGAGGTGGGTGGGGCCCCTCACCCCAGCGCCCTCCCCTCCTCCCCCGGCGGGGAAGCGCGGAGAGCACCGAGGCCTGCCGTGGGATTGGCAGGGCCACGTGACGGGGGCGAGACATTGGACGTCCATGTGGTGTTCCATGCCGTGGTTCGTGTCGACCCCAGCAATGGGTGTGTGCTCGTTGTGTTGTGATTGTGTGTGTGTGTCAATGTTACAAATAGGAACGTCGCTAATGAATGCATTGGTACATATATAATAGGTGTTTGCGTGGGCTAATCAATTATACGTTGCATATCTATATACAGACAGCATTAAAAATTAGTGGTTGATGTTACGTGCGCTCGGAGCTTGTGTCCGCTGTTGAGGGGCGCGTGTTGCGAGATGCGGCTGTCACAGATGTATCAAGGTGGCAATCCTGACGGTGTTGCTTCGGGTTTACGAGAGTTTGTGCAAGTCGACAGGACGCCTCCGAGCGATATCCCACAACAACAAAAAGTGCAAACTCCACTTGATTTCAAATGCCGGGAATGAATGTGGCGAGTTGCTTAAACACCACGTGGGTTCTAGCAGCTCGTTATTTTCGACCCTTTTACAATAGCGCCCGCGTCACTGCCGGGTATTGCCGCCGTAATGTGCGCAGTCTCGCAGCTCTTTCACGTCCGTTTGTTGTGTTGCGTACACAGCTGTGGAATTTGTGAGGTGTGTGGGGTGTGGGTGGGTGGGTGGGGGGGACTGTAAGGGTAGGCGGGAGGTGAAGGGAAGGCGCCGCGTGCGACGAAGCCGACTCCTCGCGTGGACAGGCGCCCATTTACGAGCCGCTCGACGCCTGCCGCCGAGAACTTTGGCAGCCCGGGAGAGGTCTCCCGTCGGAGGCCGTCGGGAGTCTTTGGCGCTGGGCCGGTGGCCTCCGATGACCTCCGGTGACCTCTGTAGACCCCCGTAGACCCCCGGGTGGCTGTCCCGATCCGCCCCGCGCCGTCGTGTTTGTGGGCGCGCGGCGTGTAGCGGACGCGCTGCGGTGTTCTGGGGTAAACTGGATCTCTCGTTTACATGCAACGCGTTAACGTTTCACTGTTATGGGTTGCCTCGCGAAACGGCGCGGCGGCATTTAACGTGAAAGAAGGCATTTTCAATATTCGTGACCCTTCCTGCACGTGCGTCGTTTTGAAGTTGGAGCTGTGACATTGAAGTCGGTGGTTGTTGTTGTGCACTTCCCAGTCTCAGTGCTCGTAGTTGACGTGCCGTCGTGCGTGCCGCTATCGCTCGGGGCGTAGCCATTGACGGTCCAAGGCACCGCAGGGGCCGCAGGCATCGCCAGCCTTGGGAACGCGATGTCGATGCAATGGGAGGCAGCGGGATCGCTCCGCGCGCGGCAATGGGAGCCCCCCCCCGCGTGAATTTCAATCTCGCTCGTGTCGCCGGGAGCGCGCTTGGGCGCTTGGTCCTCCTCCTGCCGACTTGGACGCGATTTGTTCCGCGGCTTCGAGCTCTCAAGCCCCCCCCCCCCCCCCCCCCCCGAGGGTTGGCGTTGCTTGTTCGCTGACGGGCAGTGCCGTGGTTGTTCCGTGCCGTGGTTGTTCCGTGCCGTGGTTGTTTTCCGTGCCGTGTGCGAGCACTGCCCCCAGCCTACCCTTCGATGTGGTGTAATAATAAATGTGTTCAGCAGAAGCAACGTCCGGGGGCCCCGCGTCCTTCATTGCCGCCTCTGAACGTGGACGCGCCGCCGACTCGCTGGCGGAGTCGGCCAAGTCACGAGTCGACGCCTACAGTATTGATGATGAGAAGCTTTAAAAGCCTCGTGGTTTACACGACAATTACAGAGTGCGGTGGTTACACATTAAACGTGAATGTGTGGGGAGCGTAGCGGTCGGCACGCGCTGCGCTACGAACCCGGCGGTCCGAGTTCGACTCCCGCTCACGACCAACACCACCAGGTGACGATTATCTGAACCGATCCTGGGCCTCCCCTAGGTCGACTCGGCCTCAAATTAGTACCTGGGGCAGTGCGTGTACATTGCCACTTGGGAGACAAAGGCGGCCGGGCGTGTTGCTGGCCACCCACCCCCTCGTGTACTGTGCCGGCCTATATTGGTGCTGCTCGCTAACGGCACTTGCCCCTACAGTCTGTTGAGGCTACACGGGGAATCTTTGTAGCTTTTCACTCATCGCATCTCATTGTACAGGCCGACTGAGCGCTACTTGCTGACACCCAGAGTCGCCCCCGTCCAGAGTCACCCCCACCCAGAGTCGCCCCCACCCAGAGTCGCCCCCCAGAGTCGCCCCCACCCAGAGTCACCCCCACCCAGAGTTGCCCACCCAGAGTCGCCCCCGTCCAGAGTCGCCCACCCAGAGTCGCCCCCGTCCAGAGTCGCCCCCACCCAGAGTCGCCCACCCACAGTCGCCCCCACCCAGACTCACCCCCATCCAGAGTCGCCCCCACCCAGAGTCGCCCCCACCCAGAGTCGCCCACCCAGAGTCGCCCCCACCCAGAGTCGCCCCCACCCAGAGTCGCCCCCACCCAGAGTCACCCCCACCCAGAGTCGCCCCCACCAGGAGTCGCCCCCACCCAGAGTCACCCCCACCCAGAGTCGCCCCCACCCAGGGTCGCCCCCACCCAGAGTCGCCCCCACCCAGAGTCGCCCACCCGAGTCGCCCCCACCCAGAGTCGTCCCCACCCAGAGTCGTCCCCACCCAGAGTCGCCCCCACCCAGAGTCGTCCCCACCCAGAGTCGCCCCTACCCAAAGTCGCCCCCGTCCAGAGTCGCCCCCACCCAGAGTCGCCCCCACCCAGAGTCGCCCCCGTTCAGAGTCGCCCACCCAGAGTCACCCCCACCCAGAGTCGCCCCCACCCAGAGTCGCCCACCCAAAGTCGCCCCCACCCAGAGTCGCCCCCACCCAGAGTCGCCCCCACCCAGGGTCGACTCTGGGTGGACACGTCCTGGAGGCTTGCAAGGCTGCGATCTTGTGCCGCAGTTGAGAGAGCGATTTGCTGCTCACGCCAGCAACGAGGCATTGGTGCTCGTCTCCCGTTTACAGCCCTGAACCAATGATGGTAATTCCACGTTCCTATAGCGGGGGCGAGTCTATCCATAGGAGAATCACTCCTGACATCCCCGCAGAGGGGTGTCTATTTTATCGACCCAGGAGTTTAAGTTTTCTGTAACCAGGCGACAAGTCGAGGGCACCAGGGACGTCTTCTTTGCGAGAGTGCCCTGGCGATGACGATGACCCCACCCAGGATGTGAACTCTCGACCCCTTCCGACCGCTCGCCGCTCGCTCTCCCGCTGCGAGCCACGCGGCCGGGTTCACGGCGACTGCTCCGCCCATCCCTCCGCTCGATCCGCGCTCGCTAAAATTGGCCACGAAAACAATCCCGAGGTGGTTCTCCGCCGCGGCTCCTCGCCGCCCGCCTCTCTGGCCCCGTGCGGGCCGTGACGCTGCCCCCCCTCGCACCCCCAGACGGCACCGCGTGGCGCTCACGAAGCGCCAGAGGTGATGCAGGCGAACACCAAATTGGCTGGAAGCCCGCGCCGCCGGCGAGCGCTGTGGGGGTTGATGTATGGCCGGGCGGACGGGGTGCGACGTTCATCAACACAGGCATCAAGGGAGATACATAATCCATACATAAATAGCACGTATGCACAACGTATCGATTAACATTCATTGATACGTCTGTACTTGCGCGTTCACAATGGCATGACCTTTGCACTCCGGCACGCTGGATATGGTGACTGTTGATGAAACGTTAAACTTGCATTTTGGCTCGTGCGTTGTGCGTGTGTTTACGCATCGGCAATATTTATTTAACCAACGGAGAATCGATACGGGATGAGCTGTGGTCGCATTCAACGTCACATCGCCTGCAATGATTCCTGTCCTTGCTCACACTGGAATGCCTCGAGGAGTCTCGTGGCTCTTCCACGAGGGTCCTGCCGCTGTGTGTGACCCCCCCCCCCCCCCCCCCCACACACGAGAACCGTGCCACTATCCCTCCACTTAGGACCGTTCGTTTCGCGACATTTCGCGCGAGCGCAATTGACAAATCGTGGACCCTTTTCCATTCACGAAATCGAATTTTCCCGCGCGCAACGACAACTCACTGCGGTGACGCTGTGCGAGACGGCCGAACGAGAAGCCGCCAGCGAGACGGCCCCCTCCGTCCGCCTCCACGTTACCTCGGCAGTCGCCACAGCGTGCAGCTCATCTTGTGGCGAGTTCCCTACAAGGGGCGAATCTTGTTTCTTTTTTAAAGGACTTACTATTCGGGCGTTTTAGTGTTTGTGTTGTGAATAGTGATACAGCAGTATGTGTGTTTGTGTTGTGTTGTGAATAGTGATACAGCAGTAGGTGTGAATGTTTGTGTTGTGAATAGTGATGCAGCAGTAGGTGTGTATGTTTGTGTTGTGAATAGTGATACAGCAGTAGGTGTGTATGTGTGTTGTGAATAGTGATACAGCAGTAGGTGTGTATGTGTGTGTTGTGAATAGTGATACAGCAGTAGGTGTGTATGTGTTGTGTTGTGAATAGTGATGCAGCAGTAGGTGTGTATGTGTTGTGTTGTGAATAGTGATGCAGCAGTAGGTGTGAATGTTTAGGTTATGAGTAGAGTGGTAATGTCAGAAACTAAAACTAATGGCTGTAGCCGTTCCCATTTCGATAAATCGCGTGGGGTTTTTTTTTTAAAGAACGCATCCCTCTCGTTAATCGAGGGGTGCCTGTCATTGGCGGTGTAAGTTCAGCATTGGGCTTTTTGGCCAATAGCGGTGACATCTGGAGCCGGATCATCTCATCAGATCTGGGAAGCTCGGCTGGTCTGAGCCTGCATAGTGCGTTGGTGAGCACAATAAAAACAAGTTCAGATAAAGTTCGAGCGGCGTCTCACACACGCGCGGCTCCACACTTGTCATCCCGAGATGTTCAAGTACGGTGGTAGCGGGTTTAGCGACACATTTACATTTACGCGATCTTACAAAAAAACCCTTCTATTATGGATGATATTGGTCGCTAAAGCCTCCTCCTCCTACCACTGCTACTCCTCCTACCACTGCTACTCCTCCTACCACTGCTACTCCTCCTCCTCCTACCACTGCTACTCCTCCTCCTACCACTGCAACTTCTCCTACCACTGCTACTCCTCCTACCACTGTTACTCCTCCTACCACTGCTACTCCTCCTCCTCCTACCACTGCTACTTCTCCTACCACTGCGACTCCTCCTACCACTGCTACTCGGTGTTAAACTAAAGTCCTGAAGGTTGCCAATGAAACGGACGCGTTTGGCCAACCCCAAAACAGACGCGGGTCTGCGGTCTGCTCTTAAAAACTCTTCCGCCTGCATTGGTGAGGATCTCGCTCAGGGCCTGAGCCCCTGCCGAGTCCTCCAGCCCCATCGCCACCCGGCACTCGGTGCACGCGAGCTCTGTGGACATGCACACACACACACGGACACGCACACACACAACACACACGGACATGCGCACACACACGCACGTGCGCGTGTCCCCGTGTTGGCTAAACACTGCAGAGAGCGAGAAGGTGACCCAACCCACAGCGTGCCAATGTCATCCCGCCCGGACGGCCCCAACCCGTACCCTCTAGCAGAGAGCACCAACTCGTACCCTCTAGCAGTGAGCCCCAGCCCGTACCCCCAAGCAGTGAGCCCCAGCCCGTACCCTCTAGCAGTGAGCCCCAACTCGTACCCTCTATCAGTGGGCCCAAACCTGTAACTGTACCCTCTATTAGTGGGCCCCAACCCGTACCCTCTAGCAGTGAGCTCCAACCCGTACCCTCTAGCAGAGAGCCCCAGCCCGTACCCTCTAGCAGAGAGCACCAACTCGTACCCTCTAGCAGTGAGCCCCAGCAGTGAGGCCCAATCCTTGCGCTCCAGCAGTGGGCCTCAGAGCTCGTGTGTACGTGTGGTGGTGTCGCCGCCCGGCTCCTCGCCGCGTGGCCGCTGCCTCCCGGCTCCATGGCCGTCGTGAGGTTCCATTTGCGTGAAGGACGCCGCGATCGATCGAGTGACATTTTATTCATTGCTTTATTCATTTTTGTATTTTGCTTGCCGGTAGGGCTTTCACGTCTTGCTCGCTGTGTATGTCCGCGCGTGCTGGGGATTCTTTCCGTCCCACGAGACCTCCTCCCGCCGGCGACGCTTCGACACTTCACGCGGACTCAAAAGTGCACCTGGCCTGGCACAGGCGCCGCGGTGACATCACCGCCACCGAGCGGCGACCGGTGCGCGACATCGGGGCTTCTTTCGCGCCGCGATGGGATTCGGCCGCGATGCACGTCACGAATGTAGGGCCCCGTGCGTGGTGCCGCCGGTGACGAGGAGCGAGTCGGAGGCGTCCGCGGGGAGCCGCTTGCCACCAGCGCAGCCTCGCTCCGGTCCCGCCGTTCCTGGCGAGCGCCCGGACACTCGAGTGCGATTCATCATCATCATCATCGTCGTCGTCGTCCTCATCGCGAAGGGACCGGCCGTGGCCTCGGGTCGTCCGCGTCTATCCGTCACGATCATCGCGACGTCCGTTCAGCAGCGGGAGGTCACGGCAAGGGCGAGCGCTGTCCGGGGCCCGCCACCAAAACAACATCGCTCTCTCGCTCACTCGCTCTCTCAATGTGCTGCACGCTCCTGTCAGCTGACTCAGAATCTAAGCGGGATTCTTGAGCCTGCCCACTACCTGGATGGGACACTGCCGGGGAATGTCAGCGCCGCAATGGAGCCTTGAATCCATCTGTGTGGATCTCCGAGCGGTATCCCCTCACGTGGGTTCATCTCCCACAGGACAGGGGCCAAACATCCCTCACGCGGGACCCTCCTGAAATCAATGCCGACACTCGCCGACCCTTGCCTGGATAATAAAGGGAACGACGTTCATCGTAACCATGGAGAGACGGTCCCCTGCCATGGGAATGTGGACTTTCCACCACTGGCTCGGGGCAGCGCACGACCCCCGACTCGTTGCCCAGCGGGGGCCTGGCGACACCCCTCGGGCCCAGGAGGCTCGGGGAGCTGGCCCTGCCCTCGTGAGCCAGGGCAGGGCCAGGACCCCGAGGGCAGGGCCAAGACCCCGAGCCCTGCCCCGTGAGCCAGGGCAGGGCCAGGACCCCGAGGGCAGGGCCAGGACCCCGAGGGCAGGGCCAGGACCCCGAGGGCAGGGCCAGGACCCCGAGGGCAGGGCCAGGACCCCGAGGGCAGGGCCAGGACCCCGAGGGCAGGGCCAGGACCCCGACGGCAGGGCCAGGACCCCGAGGGCAGGGCCAGGACCCCGAGGGCAGGGCCAGGACCCCGAGGGCAGGGCCAGGACCACGAGGGCAGGGCCAGGACCCCGAGGGCAGGGCCAGGACCCCGAGGGCAGGGCCAGGACCCCGAGCCCTGCCTCGTGAGCGAGGGCCACATCGACCATCCGTCACGGGCGGCGGGGGGCATCGCATTAAGAATATTTATATATAAATATTTATATTTAAATATTTATATTTATATATAAATATTTATGTATAAATATTTATATATCGGTTTTCACACGCAGTAGCAGGTTCTCGCGATCAATATCATCCGTAATAGAGGGGGGGGGGGGGGGTTGGGGTTAGATCGCGTAAATGTATAAATGTTGTGTCGTTAAAACCCGCCACCACCCGACACAGCCAACTAGTAAGGGTTGTCACGGTAACAGAACGTGGCCAATTCGTCACTAGTACAGCACTAGTGTATAGTGTAGTGTACAGTGTAGTATATAGTGTAGTATATTAGTACAGCACTAGTGTATAGTGTAGTATACTAGTACAGCACTAACCGGTTATGTGTTGGAGAGCCAAGCCACAACATTTACAATCTGAGTTTAAACGACGACATAACATTTATATATTTACGCCATCTAACCCCCCCCCCCCAAAAAAAAATATATATATCGGTCGTTTTCTTTGTCGTTTTTCTTTCTTAATTGCTGTTCGTTCTTCGAGTTTGACTCGCCAATCGTTTTCAGCCACAAATGCCAGCGCTGGGCCACGCTCGAATTGCCGCCACACGAGACGCTCGCTTCATTGGCGATCGTTTCAATGCATTGCGATGGCGCGATAAGCGGAGCGCCTCGGACAGAGTTTCCGTGAGCTCAGCTCCCGTTCATTCCACGCACGAACGCCACTCCAGCTCGGCCAGGTCGTTGTGGTTGCCGTGTCAATGTCAGGTCGCTCCGCGTGCACGCTTTATCCGAGACGTCTGGCCAGCGGTGGAAGAGTAGGCCAAATACACTCTGGTGGAATTCCCCAGGGCTCTCCAGTGCCCCTGGCTCTCTCGAGCTCCCTCAAGTGGAGGTCCTTCCGCCATCAGTGGCGTGAGCGAGACGTTGCAGGAACCGCACCTTTGCCCGTTCCGCAAACCTCAGTTTCGTTGTTTGCGAGTCACGGATGTTGTCAAAGTTGTCTTGTGGTTGTTGTTGTCACGAATGCGCTACAACCACCGATCCAGAGAATCCATGCCGATCAATGATGCGCGGCTGATGGGATGTTTTTATGTTTTTAAATAGGGAAAGGAGGCGACATTAGCCGCGTGCACGCTGAGTGTGACGTTGTTCTCCACGCCTTGGGCCTGATGGCCACAGACACGACCGGTACGGAGCCTCGTGTCGCGCTGCTGGCTTCGGCAGAGAGAGATAGACAGAGACACAGAGAGAGACAGAGACACAGAGAGAGACACAGAGACAGAGAGAGACACAGAGAGAGAGAGACAGAGAGAGACACAGAGACAGTGTTCGTGTAGCGCTGCTGTTAATCCTCCGTTGAAGGAGCGCAGACGACTGTAGCGGTGTATTCACTCTGGCCCCGTGGCTTGTGTCATTGTGCGTGTCATTGTGTCATTGTGTGTGGGTCGTGGCTTGCGTCTTGTGTCATTGTTTGAATCTCTCGCTCTCTCGCCATTGTTTGAATCTCTCGCTCTCTCGCCACGGATGATGAATTGGAGGCGCTGGGGGGTGGGGGTTGTGATTACGCAATCAACACACCCGACCCAATTGGGCTGCCGACTCGACGCGTGCGGTGCCTCCTATCAGCGGCTGCCAGCCGGGGCCCCTTCCGCGAGCCGGTGTGGCCGGATCCTGGTGGTTGGAGGGAGAGTTGTAACACCAACAACAACATCACCACCACCAACAACACCACCAACACCACGGGCACTGCGAGCGCCCGAGCGATCCGGTGAGCAGTGGCCAGCACCGCCCCGGCCAGCCACGCGCGCTCACCACGTGGATGTATTTATAGAGGCCTCCTCGCTGCCTCGTGGCGCACAGAGAGCTCGAGAGAGGGAGGGAGACCTCCAGGGTTGCCTCCACGTGCTGCACCACCACCACCCTCCACGGTCTGCCGCGTGCCGCTACTCCACCGCGCCGTCGAAGGTAACGACGCGTCCACACACACAAAGATCCCCCATATAGCCTGGCCGGAACGGTGCACGAGGGGGTGGGTGGCCAGCACCACGCCCGACCGCCTTTGTCTCCCTAGTGGCGATGTTTACACACCGCACCAGGTACTCATTGGAGGCTGAGTCGACCTAGGGGAGGCCCGGGACCGGTTCAGATAATCGTCACGTGAGCGGGAATCGAACCCGGGTCTCCAGGTTCATAGTGCAGCGCGCTAACCGCTACACTACCGCTCCCCGCTACTCCCCCGCGTCGTCGAAGGTAACGACGCGTCCACACACATACGAACACACATCCACACACACACAAAGATAAAGACAAAGATTCCCCATATAGCCTTAACAGGCTGTAGGGGCATGTGCTGTTAGCGAGCACCTATGAAGGCCGGAATGGTACACGAGGGGGTGGGTGGCCAGCACCACGCCCGACCGCCTTTGTCTCCCCAGTGGCGATGTTTACACACCGCACCAGGTACACACACATCCACACACACACAACAACAACAACAACCGCCATTCGCCACTAAGTGGCGGTGACGTCACCACGACGCTTGTGCCAGGCTATGTGCACCGTGAGGCCACGTGAAGTGTCGAACGCCCGCTGGCAGGAGGTCACTGGGCAGACCCAGGTGCCACGGGTCGACTGACTGAGATGACTGGCTGATGCACCACCTGTGCCCCCTACTGTGCCAACCTGCTGTGCTTTAGCCACCCGGCGCTCCGCTCGTTGTTCTGAGCGTCGCTCCTCCGTCCTCCGTTGTTGTTGGAGGGCGACTGCCTCCAACTGCCCAGTAGCATCCTTCACGAGCCTCCTCCACAGAGGCCGATCTTGACACCGCTGGTACCAGTCATCGGCAAGTCCACTCAGCTCCACGTCCTCCTGTACCACATCACTCCATCTCTTCTCTAGCCCGTGCCGCGCCCGCTTAGCCCCCTCAATCCGGCCAAACAAAAGCTGTTTCGGCATGCGGTGGCTGGGCATGCGGGCTACATGACCCAGCCATCGCAGCCTTGCCTGCCGGAGGAGCTCACCGATGGGACCCTGCCCAGATCTTTCAATGATTTGTGAGCTCCTCACACAATCCAGTCTGGTTAAACCCAGGATGGATCGTAGGCAGGCCAGCCTAAATGTTTCTAACCGGCGAAGATGTTCCATTAGGGGGGTCCACGTTTTGCAAGCGTAGAGAAGGGAGGGAATGACCGTGGCCGAGAAGACCTGAAGCTTAGTGCAGAGCGACAGATCAGGTAGCTTCCACACAGCGTTACGCAACCGATGAAAAGATATTGCCGCTCGACTGATTCGGAGTGAGACCTCTGCTGTTAAACTGGAGCCAGTCATAAGCACACTGCCCAGGTATGGGAAACTCTCCACTCTCTCCACAACTGCCCCATCACCGATCGGGAGTTGTGGGGGTGGAGTGTCCGATGGTACAAAATACCCAGGCAGGTGCTTAGTTTTGGTGGGGCTGATGGTAAGGCCCCACCTCTTAGTGGCACGCTCCAGTCTCAGCAGCAGCGTCTCCAACTCCTCCTCTGACTGAGCAGCTATTACCAAATCATCAGCATACATAACGTGGTTGAGCAATAGGGAGCCATCCCTTGACCGCACCCGGGCATCGATCAGCCTCCCATTATATCTGTACCATATGGAGATTCCCCCGGTACAGCTATTGAAGGCTTCACGAACTACGTGGTCAAAATAGATGTCAAATAATCTGGGAGCCAGAGGACATCCCTGTCGCACCCCAAGGTGTACAGGGAATGGCTCTGACTCCCGGCCACGTAGTTTTATCCGGGCCCACTCACCATCATGAAGGTCCTTAATGATCGTGAGCAGAGGGTCAGGTACTCCAAAAGCACGAAGAACGACCCAGAGCCCAGGCCTACTGATGGTATCATAGGCATTGACCAGGTCAATAAAGCAGAGATGTAGGTCTTGTTGGAATTCCCTACACCTCTGCTGTAGCAGACGGACAGAAAATATGGCATCTGTGCAGGACCGCCCTATCCTGAAACCGCATTGGGGCTCCGCAAGCCTCTCCTCAGCGTGCCTGGCAAGGCGATGTTGAATAATCCTTGTCAGGACCTTTCCCAGCACACTGAGGAGTGAGATGCCCCTGTAGTTGTTACAGTCTGTGCGGGGTCCCCCTTCTTAAAAAGGGGGACCACCAGGGCATCCTTCCAATCCTGCGGAACCCGTCCAGTAGTCCAGACTTGTTATGATGTCATATAGGGCAGTCTGTGCACAAACGCCGCCCTCCCTCAGCATTTCGCTTGGGAGATCATCTCTGCCCGCTGCCTTTCCTGGTCTCAGACTCCGGATCGCCTTCAGTACTTCTTCAACAGATGGCACCTCAGCCAGCCACTCACAGGGGGTGACTTCTTCCAATATTTGAGGCACCGCAGCCTCAGCAGGGTCATCCTCACTTTGTGCCACGATGTTTTCCTGGCTGAGGGATTTACCCTCCCCCATGACCTCAGAAATGCTCAGCAAATCTGCAAACCTGTTCCTGGGGGTCGGAGAATTAGGTCACCGTTTTTTCCCCTAATGATGGTAATAGGTGTGGCGCTTCAGATAACTTTTTTGATGGAGTTAAATAGAGATTTGTGATCACGGGCCACTGAGGCAGACTCCATCTCCTCAGCAACCCGTGACCACCACCCATCCTTGCAGCGCCTCACGGCTCTCCGAACCTCCGAGCGAAGGCTGCGGCAAGCCTCCTCATTCTCTGACGTGGGATTCTGTAGCCGATGACAGTGGGCCTGTCGCTTTTTCTCAACCATCCTGAACACCTCCTCTGTCAGCCAGGGTCTCTGGGGAGGTCTGGACCGCGTACCCGAAGCAGCCATTGCAGCTGCATGAGTCACAGTCCTAAACCTCGCCCATTTACCCTCGACATCAGGAGGAGTCGGGGACGATGCCAATCCCAGCCGCAAGCGATGATGAAATTCTCGCTTGCAACTTTCATCAGATAACTGAGACCAGGCCGCTTTAGGTTGGAATGGGGTCCTGGGTGTACACCCACCACCGGAGTGGAAGAATGGCAGGCACATCTTACAGATGACTAGTCGATGGTCAGAGGGCAGATCAGCTCCACGGTAGGTCCTGGTGTCAAGGACATGGGCTCGCATCCGCTGGTCCGTCACTATGTAGTCCAGCAGATGTTCTTGCTTGGACCCGGCATGCATCCATGATGTTGTGTGGATGCGCCGATGCCGGAACAGCGTGTTGGTAATTACAAGCCCATGGGCTGCACAAAAATCTAGCAGCCTCCTACCGTTGTTATTGAGCTGATCTGGCCCATGCCCTCCAATCACTCCAGACCAGGTGCCAGTATCATGACCAACTCGGGCATTGAAGTCACCCAACATGATGACTCTATTCCGAGGGGCCACTTTAGCCAGCACCTGTGACAGGAGGTCATAGAAGGCATCTGACTCATCGGCTTTGCCTGCATCCCTCCACGGATGTTCATCTTCGGTGGGGGCATAAGTAACCACGACCACCATTCCTCACCTCCGGTTGATGGGAAGGCGAGCCCAAAGTAGCCTGGGACTTACAGCTTCCCACACCTCATCGCCACGCTCCCACGCCCCCTTCATTCTTTTGTTCAAAAGAAGAGCCACACCCTGTTGTTTGGCAGTCTGCTGCGCCGAATAGAGGACTGTCCACCCCTCATGGTGGCAGGAGCCAGAGCCGGTCCACCGGACCTCCTGAATGCCACAGAGATCCAGGCGGTACCGGTCCAGCTCCCGACAGAGGAGTGGCAGCCTCTCCTTCCTCAGTGAGCGTTCGAACATTCTACGTGGCCACCCGTAGTGGCTTTTAGTTGTTTCTGGAGGAGCCCCGAGGATAGATATTCAATCTCCTGGCTCCGCCAATTGGGGTTTGGCCAGGAGACGTCATAGACGCCTGGCCCCCCGGGGCCTCCGGCACAAGCTTATTAGTTACATATTTCAGTTTAACTCGTGGTTTAGTGGTAATTAATTGAAGGTGGAGGGGTTACCAGCCCCTCGCACCCGTCCAGAGCCCCCGTTTAGCCTCTGTGGTGGACACATATACCATGAGGGGAGGAGCCAATCATTATTGGACCTCCCCCCACAGCACTGTCCACGACAGAGTTGCCCGTCCGGCACCGCGAGGAGGTAGGGGGTTGTTTTGCCGGACACACACACCCACACAACCACACACACAACCACACACACACACACAACCACACACACACAACCACACACACACACGCAACCACCCACACACACGCAACCACCCACACGCAACCACACACACACAACCACACACACTCCCTCCCGCGTGTTTGTGAGAGTGAGGCCCCTTTGTCGGAGATGGATGGATCGCGTGTCCTCTGCGCTGCTGGTGGTGGTGCTGGTGGTGGTGCTGGTGGTGGTGCTGGTGCTGGTGGTGCTGCTGGTGGTGGTGGTGCTGGTGGTGGTGCTGGTGGTGGTGGTGGTGCTGGTGGTGGTGCTGGTGGTGGTGCTGGTGCTGGTGCTTGTGGTGGTGGTGGTGCTGGTGCTGGTGGTGGTGCTGGTGGTGGTGGTGCTGGTGGTGGTGTTGCTCTGCGCCTTCGCCCCTGGCTCCCCGTGGCTGCCATGGTGGTGTTCTTCGCAACAACGGTGGCGTTCAGGCTGACACTGCTGACGACGCCCAGAACGGCGAAACCAGTCCAGGGTTCGCTTTCTGCACTGCTGCCGGATGACGGCACCGTGGGCTTGGTGTCCCCTGTGTCTGTGTCTCTGTGTCTCCACGGACACCTGGGCTTGGTGTCCCCTGTGTCTCTGTGTCTCTGTGTCTCTCTGTGTCTCCACGGACACCTGGGCTTGGTGTCCCCTGTGTCTCTGTGTCTCCATGGACACCGCGGGCTTGGTGTCCCTGTGTCCCTGTGTCTCTGTGTCTCTGTGTCTCCACGGACACCTGAGCTTGGTGTCCCCTGTGTCTCTCTGTGTCTCTGTGTCTCTGTG